TTTATTTATATAATATTATAATATACTAAAATAAATAAAATATAGATCTACTTTTAATCCCCATTTTCACTCTTCTCTTTATCGTTGTCTCCCGCCATACATCGCATTCTCTCTCTTCGAGTTTTTCTTCTTCTCTCTCTTGAATGTCTCTTCTCCAGCACGATTTTTTGGTAAATTTGCTGCGAAAAACAAGTGAAATCTCCAAGAAACTCATCCAATAAATGTAGATGTAGTGGTATTGCCGCTTATAGTGGAAGAAAAACGAGTAAGTGGAAGATCTAAACAAAACCGATTTTCTAGATCTGGTGAGACTCGAAAAAAGAAAATCATGTTCGGTAGGTTCGGTCAGTACATCAATGATGTCACAGACGTATGAGTCATAATATTATGTTCGTGCATGTAATGACATTATCAATTCATATTTGGACTAATTCACTCGTGTATTATATGATAAAAACAGTCGTCAAACTGATCAAACTTGTCAAACTCATCGTAATACTAATCAACTCATAACACTGGTCAAAGTCGTAACACGCATTCGTGACGAGTTTGACGTGTTTGACGAGTTTGACGTGTTTGACGTGTTTGACGAGTCAACGCGATCAACCTGTGGTCAAAATGACATTCCGATGGTTCAAAGTTGTGTACATGGTCTATTATGACGTATTGAACGTGTTTTTGTTATAAGGAGAGCATCTGAGAAAATGATAAATTCTACCCTAGGCCAATGTGTAACATAAAGTGTAATAGAACATTAGGGTTTCGTTTGGGGGAACATGCATTGTTACACAAAATAAGGTGCTAAATTTAAATAGATGCGATTATTATTTACTTATCAAATTTGTTATACGAGGTGCTTATTAACATTTTCGCACAAAATAAGGTGCTAAATTTAAATAGATGCGATTATTATTTACTTATCAAATTTGTTATACGAGGTGCTTATTAACATTTTCGTGGTTCGCAATTGATAAATTCGCCAAATCAGAGAGTTTGACGAGTTTGACATGTTTGACGAGTCAACACGGTCAACTTGTGGTCAAAATGACATTCCGATGGTTCAAAGTTGTGTAGGGTCTAGTATGACGTATTGAACGTATTTTTGTTGTAAGGAGAGCATCTGGAAAAATGATAAATTCTACCCTAGACCAATGTGTAACATAAAGTGTAATAGACCATTAGGGTTTCATTTGGGGGAACATGCATTGCTACACAAAATAAGGTACTAAATTTATATAGCTGCGATTATTATTTACTTATCAAATTTGTTATACGAGGTGCTTATTAACATTTTTGTGGTTCGCAATTGATAAATTCGCCAAATCAGAGAGTTTGTCGAGTTTGACGTGTTTGGCGTGTTTGACGAGTTTGACGTATTTGACGAGTCAACGCGGTCAACCTGTGGTCAAAATGATATTCCGATGGTTCAAAGTTGTGTACAGGGTCTATTATGACGTATTGAGCGTGTTTTTGTTACAAGGAGAGCATTTAGCCGAGTCTTGTGGATACTTTTCACAATTTAGGCCGCAGATAATCGCATGCTCGGTGATCGAATATCTGATGGGCACGCCATTCAGAACAAACCATAGCTGTTTCACTTCTCCTTCCAATTTTAGTGCCCGATGTAAGAGGACTGATGCCGGAACCATCTTCAATGTGTCCTTACATCCAAGATGGAAAATATGCCGAAACTGAGATTCTTTTTGGAAATATGTAAATTCTTCATCCGTCAAGGCCTTTTTAAGAGATCTAACAGTCTGATATGGATAACATTTCGTCGTGATCTTAGGAGCCATATGAATGTCCTTAAAATCATACACAAAAGGTACCTGCAAAAACAAATTTAACACTCATTATCAAACTCGTCAAACACGTCAAACTCGTCAAACACGTCAAACTCGTCAAACACGTCAAACACGTCAAACTCGTCAAACTCGTCAAACTCCGACTTGTTTGACGAGTTTGAACATTTTTGAGACTCGAATAGTTTGACTTGTTTGACGGGTGCGCTAAGTTTAACTAATATCTAGCATGACCATTAATCTATGTTTTAGTGCATCCGACTGTCGACAATATCATCGTGATTCGATTTCTATCCGTCTTTTTCACAAAACAATATTTCTCACCCAATCCGAAAACCATATTTCGATATTTCAGTGACAATTTGTCATTCAAACCATAGTTTTTCAAAATTTTATTTCAAACCCTATTCTTAACGAAAACTTAATAGAAAATCTAAAACCGAATCTCAATGTATACCCGAAACCCTAAAAAATTTGATTTTTGCGGAGTTAAAAAACTATACCTGGAGGTCTTCGCAAGTAGGGTCCGAAAAGGGGGCCGAAGATGATGAAGACGAAGCCATTCTTCGTGAAAATTTGACGAGTTTGACGAACTCGCATAGAAAGATCGCACAGAAAAATCACAGAGTGAAGAGAAAATGAAGAAGAAGAAACGACACTATGAAGAAATGAAAGTGTATGTCGAAAAGGGACAAAAAAAAACTGTTTGGTTTTTCAAATTTTTTTAATTTAGTAACTTCCCAACTTTTGTTCTTTCTCATTCAAATGTTGACACGTGTATTTTTTAAAAGGGGTAACGATGTCTTTTCATTCTTTTACAGTTTTTGTTTGAAGGTTTTTTTAAAAGGGTATGTCATGTAAGTAAAATCGATATTTAAAGGTATTTTTGTAATATTCTCCATTCAAATATATACTTGTAAAGCAAAAAGGAAAACACAGACAGAATAAAATAAAATAAAATAAAATTGTGGGATATTACGGAACATATGTTTTTTGGGGGATATAGCTATAATACCCTCTCAATGCTACAATCACTTCCTCCTATACCCTCTAAACAAAAAATAAAAAAAAAAGTATTATTCATAACAAAAAAGACCATAAAACCTCATACAATACGATAAAGACAAAAACACCCCTCCTTTTTCAATTAAAAATATTCAAAATTAAAAAAAAAGTAAAGTTAAAAAACAATAATGGCTTTCTCTCTCCTAACCCACTGTTCATCTTCTTCCTTCTACCAAATCGTGAGCTTCTCTCTCTCAAAACTCTCATTCTACCATCGATTAGTGACATAAATCCTGATTTCTCTTTAGAAATTTCTGTTTCTCTTCAAATCTCCAGCGAAATTAGAGAGTTGAAGAAGATATGACGTCGAGAGCGAAGAACATAACTTCAAATCATCGGTGGCCTCATCTTCATCTTCCTCCGAAAGTGAGAACTGTAAGCAAATTTCAGAGTTAAAAGAACAAATGGTAGGTTAAACAAACACTTTCTCATCAATTTTGTTGGATTTTAAAATGTATTGTTGTTGAGTTGAAGTTTGGATTTTGGGTTTTGTAAGTAGAAATATATGGTTTAGGTTTATGAAATTTTGGGAATTTCGAAATAGAATATTGTGTTTCTGAAATTTTGGGAATTTCGAAATAGAATATTGGGTTTTAAGTGAAATAATTGATTGGCATGTGAAATGATTTAAATCGAGTTAAATGAGTCAGTTTGGGTCACATGGTGATTTAGAAAAATTAAATGGGTAACTGTATCATATGGGTCGATATATAGATGTATGAATGACATGATGATTTGAGTCACATGGTCACAGGGTTACAGTGTCATATAGGTCACATTGTGGTATGGTCACATGGTCATATCTTCATATAGATTACAGGATTACAGGTCATATGGTGGTATGGTCACAAAGTCATCTCTTCATATACGTCACAGGGTCACAGGTCACATGGTACCATGTCACACGGTCACATGGTACCATGTCAGACGGTCACATGGTACCATATCAGACGGTCATATGGTACCATGTCACATGGTCACATGGTACCATGTCACACGGTCACATGGTACCATGTCACACGGTCACATGGTACCATGTCACATGGTCACATGGATTTTGAAACATGATCCAGAATGCTAACATATATTTTTTTTGTAGCGCATTGAGGAGACAATGTATGATATACGACTTTGCGTTTTATAGAATTCGGTGACTTAAATAGAAAGCAATTACATGGTTAATGACACTATTTTCACGGAGTACATCAAGTAGTGGGAAAAATCAGGCGACTTGCTAATTTTAATTTGGGCGATCTCGGGCCCTACTTCAAAGGACATCTTCCACTTGGATGTGTAAGAACATCGTTGACTAACTTTTATTTCAGCTAATAATTTATCTCTTTTTTATGAACATTAAGTATAACATTCTTTTATTTGTTTATTAGAATACTAAGTTATAATTTTTTTATACTTTTTGTTTATTTATATATGAAACTGCTTATAGAGATAACAAAATATAGGTTGAAAATAGTAAACAAAAGGATCCCACTGAAACTCTAAATTGTCAACCGTAACTTTTCTACACACTTGGATGATACTAGACTCCACCAGAAATATTGCATGTAAAAATTTTGGAGGGAAAATTTTGGAGGAAAAATTGTTAGAGAACAAAATTTAGATTTAGGTATTTTAAACTCAAACTATTATCATGTTCACATGGTCACATGAGACCATATTGGTATGATCACATGGTACCATATTCATATGGCCACATAGTACCATGTTCACATGGTCACATGGTGTCATGGTGTCATGGTACCATGGTATCACAGTGCCATCTATTTTCATGGAATTAAGAGTATACTAAAGAAGGAAGCGTTTGACGAAGTACTTTTTTATTTGGAGGAATTGACATCATCGAGTTCATGACTTGAAAATTCGTTCGACAAAGTCTTCTAAGAAGAAGAAGAAGGGAAAAGGTCTGATAAATGAAGAAGTAGAAGATGAGCGAGCAAAAGAAGACGAAGAACAACAATTATATGTGATGACAATGTCACCAAGATGCGTGAGCAGTTGACAGCCACCATATTTGTCAATAGAAATATTCAAAAGTAGAATTAAGAACTTATTTATGTTATGAACTTATTTCTTTTTGTTATGACATTTTGTTTGTTTATTATAAACCTACAGAATTTTATGTTATGATATTATTTTTTATATTTATTTTATATTTGAACATATGAGGTGAAAAATATTGGAAGATAAAAAATTTGGGTTGAAAAATTTTGGAGGGAAAAAAATGGGTTAAAAAATATTGGAAGATAAAAAATATGGGTTGAAATGTTGTGTCCCACCAAAATTAGTGTTGAATTGTCAACCGTAACTTTTTTGCACACTTGGATTATACTGGGCCCTACCAGAAATATTACATGTTCAAACTGGGACCCATAATATTTCGGTCACAATAGGTCACAGTTGGTCACAAGGTCGATTTAGTGGATTCTTTCAAATGAATCGATCTGATTGTCATCACATCTTCCATATACACTATTTTGAACTATATTTAACTATAATAATTGAGTTATTCAAATTTTGTGTGCAAAAGTAGTTCTAAAAAATGTGATACATTAGTGTTCATAGTCTTTTATTAAGAATTTTGATAATTTTGGTCTTTTTGTATTATAAACTCGTTTTAACGTTTTGTAATTTTATCATCAACATAATATTTGAGTTCTTTATACCTTATAATAACAGACCAAAGCTTCGAAATTACGTTTTTACCTGTATTTACCTTCGTCACTTGGTCACAGGTCACAATGGTCACATAGTGTGAAATTGACATTGGTCACATGCTGGTCACATGAGACCCAAACACTACTTATATGAGATAATTTATTTACTGTTTTTTAATATGTAGAATGAAATCAAAGTATTATAATGCATTATTTTAACACAATATTATACAAAGATCTTAATGTTTTAATGTACATATATAATATAACATTATTATACAATTTATATTTCTTTATTCATTCAAAATTAGGGTTTCACTGAAATTTTGTTGATGTTGATACTCTTGTTGTGACATAGATCCACTTTTGAACTACACTAGGATCTGAAAAGCGGTTTTGTTCAGGTCTCTCACTTTTTTGTTTGTCTTCCAATTTCTTTGTACCCTTCATAGCTTTGCTAGATTTTGATACGGGTTTACAATTATGCATAAGATTGTATTTTCTTACACTCCAACGTTTCGAGTTTAAGATCAATGTCGTACGCAACTTCCAATTACAGCCGGATCCAGTAACTTCCAACACTCTTTGGTTTTTCATCACCTTTCCTTCTCATTCTTATTCTCCATTCTTTTTCATTATCCATTTACTATCATACAGAAAATATACAATTGTGATCTCTTATCTCGTCCGTCTATAATAGTTATAGAAAACATACGTACAAAATGCAGATCAATTCGACTATTCTGGACACAATGACCATGTGACCATTATTATCATTTTTGACTATGTGACTATGTGATCATATGAACATAGTACCATGTGACCATGCGAATCTGGTACCATGCGACCATGCGAACCTGGTACCATGTGACCATGTGAACCTGATACCATCCGAACCAGATCTTCAACAAAGGACAAAACTTCACAAACATCACCAAGTGGAAGAAAAGAAGTGGAAAAAACATCATTTTTCAACAATTAGAAGAAAAAAGGTAGAAAAAACATCACTGTTCATCATGTAAAACCGATAACCATCAACGTGGAGGAAAAAAAATAAGATTTTCACAATTGCTTACCTATTTTCAACTTCTTTGACAATTTTGCACTGATTTTGTTTTGATTTCTATCGATTTTGGAGAAAAAATTGAAAGATTTAGATGAGAGAGAAAGTGTAGGAGAGAGAGAGCTCAATGTCGACAATGGAGAGAGAGGCAGGAGAGAGAAACCGAAAAGAGAGAGGAGAGAGACAACTAATTTTTGGGAAATTTTTTTTATTAAAAAATTAAATATAAAAGGGTATTTTAGTCATTACTAATTGAAGAGGGTATATTAGAAGTTGGATTTTTTTTTTTAAAAGGGGAGGGTATGAGTGGAAGTTGATATAGCACATTAAAGATATAACGGAAGTTGCCCCATTTTTTGTTGTTGTTTTTCTGACATTCTGCATCTAATCGTAAGTTTGATTTCTTATAGAAAAAAAACACCATCAAAAGAAACAAAAAAAAAATTGGAGTTGCACGTACACACAACAACAATCTCCATTACTTTTAAAATCCACCTTTGAATATATATAACTTCAATATAAATTTAGATTTGTTTCTATCATTTGAAAATAGTCCTACAACCAATTATTATAATTGTTTAAAAATCTTTGTATCATCTATGTTTTTTTCACCAAAGTGAATTTTTGTTGTACAGAAAATGAAAACTATTGAACACAGATTATAACTTCAAAGTTAAAAACCAATAGTTGGTGGTATAGTGGATGAGAGACGGCAAAATCACCTTTAAGATTATGAATTCGATTTTATTGGTGGAGAGAGATATAATTTCGGGACCAAAATGATACATATACAAAACCTGATTCTGGGACTAGGATGGATGTAATCGACTCAAAAACGAACCTTGTTATAAAAAAAAATTTCCAACACAAAAGCCATTTCTCTTCTTGTGCGTTTGACTACTCCAAATAGTGCACGAGGGACAACAAAAGTGTCTCGGCTCGGCATTATATTAATTTATATGGATAGAAAAAAAAGACAATAATAATTAATTGTTTTCTATTTTATTTTTCTTAGAAAATATGGATTTCTATTGTTGCTTATAAGCGATCTAACATCATCACTAAGAAGAAAATCAATACGGTGCTTCACATTCTGAGCATCCTCTCTAACCCCCACAACAAAATCCCATGCGTCAAAACATATTTTACAACAAATGAAAAACACCGAAAAGAAAAATGAAACTTATTATATAGAAAGACTAAATTAATATTATAAAAGGAAAAGATCTAAGGAACCATTCGGGGTTTGGATGAATGAAGAGTTAGTTAGTGATGATTTGATGGATTGTAGCTTACAAATGCGAACTCGCAGATTTACTCCCACCCTAGAATGGGCTGTCTCCTTAACCATCTTTTTTCTGGTGCTATATATATAGATATAGAAGGGGCGGCCAACGACTATGAACAAGAAGAACACCACCTCTTGTCCCCATCCATTGTCCGCTCTGTACAGTTTCTTCTTCCACTAGTATCAGAATCAAAGCCTCTCTCTCTGTCATTCCTTTTCCAGATTTCTCCCGATGTTCGTCCAGAGCCCTGCAGCCCCCTTGAAACTGTCTTCCTTCTGTAACAGAGAGATAGATAATCAACGATCCTAAAGTCTTGAAGCTCAGGATCCATTTACAGCCATTCTGGGTGGTGACTTTGGAGTTACTAACGGAGGTTCCTCCCCACCATTAAGGTTTCCGTTCTCTGATGCTTCGTGTTTGCTGTCAGACAAGTTACCCGAAGTTGATTCTTTCTCGTCCTTATGGTTTTCCTCATCTGAACTGCTGCTGCCATTGTCGTTACAATTTCTTGAGTTCTCAGATCCCATTGTTCCTTGGCGTCCTTCGGGCGCGTTCTTGGTTCCTTCAGTTGAAAGAGTTGCTGCAGATGCGGTGGTTATCTTACCAGGATGAACCGCCTGGCTAAGCGTCGAGCAGAGGGCAGTAAATGCGTTTTCCTTCCTGGAGCTTTTCACCAACCATTGTTTTTTTGATGGTTCCTTCTCTCTTTCACCAGATGGGGATTTGCGTTTAAGCTTAAGGAACTCGACTTCATCCTCTGAAGCTTCCGGCTTTTTCCGTGGAGGTGGTTTATAGCCTTCATCATCACCATCATCATCATCCTCATAGTCTACCAATCCACCAGACCTTGGGCTATACAATAATGTAAACAAGGCAAATCCATTAACACGGATACTTGCTTATGACATTAACTTTCATGAATTTCTAATACGAGGCTCTATTAACTTATACCTTGAAGATGCATAGCTTGCAGCCACTCCATTGGAGAGATGGGACTTCAGTTGTTCTTTTTGTGTATTAGAAGCAGATGCTGAATCTTCTTCATCGCTGTCAGTATCCAATTTGGATATAAATCATCAGAAAAGGCGAAGAGAATCAAATGGTTATGGATGTCTTAACAGCCTGATTCAGATTCACACCTGTCCTCATTGAAGTAATCTTCCTCCTCTTTATCCAAAGCACGCTCATCGGTTCTTCTTCTAGGGTTGACTGAATCAGCATTGCTCTTTGGTCCAGCACTTTCTAAGCACTGCAAATGCATCATTAGGCAAGGAACGCCAAGCCAAATCTCCAAAGCGGAAATCAAGACCCGGAAACAATACCTGCTCATATTTCACCTTGAAAGCCTGAATGGAGGTCAAGTACTCAAACGGAGCCAACTGGTCCCAGAAGGTATCAACCACATATTTGAGTAACACTGTTGCATTTCCCTGCACACAAAGTGGTCGATAATATAATATTATGTACAGAGGAACATCAATAAGGGCCTAAGATGCAACTGAGCAAAAACAAGAAGAAATGGAACCTTGCGTATGTGCTCAAGAAGATCCAGCACAGCAGAGTTCAGTAGATTGTATCGGTTGCCGTTGGCAACAAACACATCGATAATCGGTTTCAGAAGGTTGCTCTTAACAATATAATTCTGCACATATTCATCCTGAAATAGAAAAATGTTTCAGCAATTCCATAGTCCTTCAAAACTTATTGATCCAAAGGAACAGTGGTAAACACGATAACAAATCAAACACAATGTCAATAGAAAAAAATACATATTAGCAGTCGTAAAAACATCAACCCATAACACAAAGCTCATGATATGACACTGAAGCTCTTACTTACCAGGAAAAAAATGTAGTAAGGCTACTTATTTATTTTGTGTATTGAATAATCTCGATCTACTCAAGATGTTCATGCTTCTTTAGTTATGGATACTAATAGGCCTCAAACTTTCAATCACAAGGGGGCAATAAGGATCCATTCCAGATAACAAGTCTTCATCTTCTCCATAGTTTTCTACTCAACAAATCTGGAACCGTATCTGATTACCACTTCCAAGGAATCATGTAAATCTATTTCCAAAATGCTAATCCAAATTTACTTACAAGTACAGCAAGAAGAGTTCGGACAAAGCGAATAGCAGCAACCACTAAGTATTTTTCCTTTCTTCGAGTGAGATGCAAAACATTCTCTATCACATTATTATGAAGAAAGTTGTACCTGAAGACAAAAGAAGAAAATCCTCACTATTAGACGGCTGATATGATAACATGAGATTAAAAGAAAATTACCGTGATGAGCATAACAGGGATTACTTTGTCCTGGATGAATCTTGCATAACGCAAAAGCACAGCAAGTCACAAATGCTTGACAACACCTCAGGCTTTGCACCATGATGGCTTCCAACTTTTCTGGCCACACCTTCAGATTTATTGTCAGGCCTCTCAGGACATGAGGCAGTTATAACATCAACTAACTCAGGTAGATGCTTCTCATAGAAAATATCCATGATACTTGCTCTCTGCTAAAATGACAGATTCATTGAAGAGAGCAAGTTTAATAGAGATCATGATGACTCTTTACCAGATTAGAAGAGAAAAATGAATACGGTTCACACAAAATCGCAGGGCCTTTTCCCCCAGCATCTAGCGTACATGTTTAAGAACAATGGATACAACAACAAAAGAACTAACCCCAACTTGTGGAGACAGTTCTTAGGAATAGAGTCGCACAAATAAAATGAAGAGAATACTATCCCCCTTCTGCTTATGAGCAAAATGGGGTAATGAAAGGCAACAACTATGCACCTGAGCTCCACTAGACAATGCATTTGAATCCAGTAGGCTTCTTATAATTTCGAGAAACTGACAATGCATTTTATCACCAAAATCTTCCATCAATCCCTTAACCTGTTAAACAAACAATGGAACAGGTTACTACTCCAGTGGGGGATTGGGTGGGTTAGGCTTTGGGAGGAAAAAGAAAGAGGATGACAGGTAAAGAGATGACCCAATGCCAAAAACAATTACCAGGAAACCAAGGAGGGAAGTTCCTTCTGGTCGACCAATATAAGAACGTAATAGGTTGGAATCCTGATTCATGAAAAGAATGAGGATGTCTGTCCTGCATCCATTTCAACAAAAAACTTGAGTGGGTATGTTAAAAATTAAGAACAGATATTTGTTGTACAGACAATTGGATGGAAGAGTAATTGTAAAACAATGAAAACCAAGGTACCACAATAATCTGTTCAGTATAATGAGTCAAAGATAAATCATATACCCGGTTAAAACAAGTTTCTTGTCTGGACTCTGCAAGACATCCGCTATGACGTCAAAAATCCCTTCATTAATAAGGTCCCTACAAAATAATTAAACAGAGGACCAGGCCGATAGATATAGAATAACTAGCAAAGACATTCTCAAGAAGCACTGAACAAAATAAGCCAGGTATGATAATGTGATAACTGCTAAACATGCAAAGGCCACTCTTCCAGGAGACAAATTCTCAACACCAATACATTTAGTTTCTGTGAAGTGCATACCTAAAAAGTCGCAGCTGCTGCACCACCTGGAGGCTCTTGCTTAAACTACAAAACTCATGCAAGAAATACACCTATTTCATAGAGAATGAGAACACATCAGTCTGGCTAACTCGCCTGAGTAGCAGTATGGTTCTCGTGAAGTAATATTTTTATCTAGTTCATCTAAATATCAGGCTAGAGAAAAAAAAAAGGCAAATCTAAGTTCATCACAATGATAGACAATACAGTTTTCACAGAGAATTTCCTATCGCCCTAGGAACCCTTTAGAATCTCTCCTCTTCCCAATGAAATTCCAAAATAAGTTTCCAACACATTATTTCCACCAAATACAAGAGTACCTAGTCCCAAACAAAATAAGAAGAGCATTTTGATGCCAGGAAATACCAAATTTTTCTTGGATTCTGCAGACGTAGAAGGTGACTTCAACCTTGAAAATAATTCTTGGATAAAGGTGCTGTCATCCTTCAGCAAAGAAACAACCTACAGAAGGCAAAGAGCAATGAGTGAAAGAACAGTATGAGATGCATGCATTCAGATGTCATAAATGTGGTTAATTTTCTATACACAACTTACAATAGCATTGTTTGCATGGATTATTGAATTTAAGTTTGCAACTGTAGCATCATCTAGTACCAAAGCCAAAACAATGTCCTGCAAGAAGCGAAAAATCATTAGAATAAAAAATACAGAAGAAAAGTGAGAAATTTAGAGAGCTTGATCATGAGATCCAACCTTCAAATAACCAATTCTGTATGTCTGGTGTATCTTAGAAAGGACAAGAGGATCTTTAATCGGTATAGCCTGCAACAATAAAGAAAGTAATAAAGGTGATCTCAAACCTGAAATTTCTTTCTGTGTAAAACCTATATAAATCTCATTTCTAAATCGCATTGCAACCACCAAGCATCCGAGGTAGCATCTTCTTTTCTTATCAGAACAGTAATTCTCTTGCATTTCCTATCTTTGTGTCCTAACAGGTGCTGATTGCTAAACAACATGGAACATAGAAAAAGGAAGCATTGTGTTACCTCCTTAAAAACAACATGCTCTTTCAAAAAATTCCGGTGATGTTGGGACTGAGGAACATCAGGGTCATCTACAAGCATAAAAGAAAAAAAAAACAGCAGTAATCAGATATTAGGTATGGGCCCATGAAAGAATGCAAAACATCAGCAATAAGTAATGAAAAACCATCCATCCGATCACTTAACCAACAGAAACTCTTGGTAGAGACAGATGAATTTCATGATATACAACATACAATAAATAGATTCTTCGCTAGTATATCTGCCACTAGTTCCCAACAGAAGTCAAAAGGAGATTTAGACTTTGAGGGTGGCCAACTGCTATAATATTTTAACAGTAACTATAAGAGTTTCTAGAGGTATATGCACTAAATAACTAGTATCTATGTTCCTAAGTTCATTCTCCTTACTTTCATTTAAATTTTAAAAATAGAAGATCATTAAAGTTCACCAGTGACAAGATACTTACATTCAAGACACCCGATAATTTCCATGATGAATTCATCCCCAAAGATTTTCTCAAAGATCTGAGGACTATTGAGCAAAACTGCATATAAAAGAAACAAGAAATGTTGATATTACATAAAGTTCTGAAATATTAAAGGATGAAGAAAGTAACATTGAGAAAAATGGAATACTCACTGATTCCTTTGATTATATTGAATATCATGTGAAGGCCATCCACATTTTCCAAGTCCTCGCAGATTTTGAATACATCCATCAGTTTCCGGAAGAAACCATTCTGCATCAAAGAAAGAATGTAAATTGAGGAGGTTTACAGGATCTATCTACTCCCCGTGACAAGATAAATAAGAATAATCACTGATGGATGAACTAAAGAAAGAAGTGTCTATGAAAACATGACAGAACTATTATTCCAGCCAAAAAATGTATTTGAAAACTTTTCATCAGATCTTCTCATATATTAGCTGAATCCATTCTATAGCCAAATGTATTGTGCATAGGTACAAACTTTGAATCAGAGCAGAAAAAAAAAGAAACTACCTGGAGCTGTAACAAGATTTTCCCCCACGAGAACAACCATAGGTATAAAACTAAAACAAAATTGTAAAGGAGAAGAACATATATTCCTCATACAGACAGAATTAGCGGAAAGTTGAAAAATATCACATACTTACATCCTTCAAAATGAGTTCAGTCAGTCGCATTTGATCTGTAATACCACTCTCAGTCACAATCTGCAAAGGAAATTGCAAATATAAATTCTTGGAAAACAGAGAAGCAGGATAAGAAACAAAAAAGTTTTAAGAAAAAAGAGTTGTCATGACGACTTCCACCTACTGATGTGCTAAAACAGATGCTCGCCAAAAGGATAAATATATGGCAAAAAAGAGACTATAGATTTCTGAGGTACAAGTGAACAAAGGAAGATTTGCTTCATTAGACAGGAGGAGGAAGTTGGAAATGCAACGAAAAACAGCCAAAAGGAAAGAAATTTTCTACACAACGTTATACAATCCCCTCCGTAAAACATATATATCGAGATTGCTACATTCCAATTTTCACCACATGAGACAAATGTCAACAACGAGAAATCATCAAAATAAGCCACAGGACAATGAAAGCATAAGGAAATAGAATCTCGAAACCTTGACTATTAGAGGAAGAGTAGAAAGCTCTACAGCAGGCAGCTCCCTCAGCTGACTATTCATACTGTGAAATGTTTCGCCTGCTTAATCAAAGGTGGGCAATGTTGTCAGATACAAATTCGTAACTGATTAAAAAATATACAAGAAACGAACCCAGTGCCTAGCCAAGGACAAAAAAAGTTTCAAAAATTATGTAAGTGCTGCAACAGTTTCTATTAATATATAAACTTAAATGGCCATATATGCTAACACTGTGATTGACTCATCTTACAACTATGTTTTCTTTAACAAAACACTCACTCATATTGCCATTACAGTAAATAAAAATGCCAAGTTCCAATTCCATCCCCATATGGGACAACAGATTAGAATAAGAATCCACTAGATATAAAAGAGGATTACATCGATAAGTAAATTATTTGATAATATATAATCTTCAAGGGAGAAAAACTTACTGTTAAGAGAGTTGAAATGCATATTTCGTTGCATTGTACAGATTTGGTCCCTGGATATACATACAGACATCAGTTTAGGAGTCAGGAAATGAACAGCAGAAATTGAGAGTTAAAAAAAGAAGAAAACATAAAAATTCCAATCATTCACCAAATATAAGAGCATCCTGCAGTCTCTTGAAAGCTCAAAGCCATATCTGTTGAGCGCTCCGGGTCTTTCCATGAGATAATTGTGTCTGTACATTGAAACAGATGACCACTTATCCGGAAGAAAAGAAACAGCAGAATTTTGTTGGAGATATCATAGTTGATCCAACCACAATGCACAAAGGCTACCTTCTTGCTTCCTGTAGATGTCCTCAGGCCTGATGTGGTGCACAAGTAGAGTTTCATTGTCATCTTCATCAATCACATATAGACCCAGTTCTTCTGTTCGCTGCATTGATAGCATTTCAATTTATTTCTTTAGCTATCAGGGCCTTGAGAAGTTTATTTTCAGAATGAGTGCTGAGAATTCACGCATCAGGAGGAAAGCAAGCAGCTCAGAATTACTACAAACCTCCATATAATCAATAGTGACGTGTCCAGTTCCTCGGTCATCCCATTTACCATCGTCGTTTAGATGATAGACCTTCACTCTCTAAACAATCGAAACAAGTAAGAGATGACAATTCTATCCCAAAAACTGTACTTTTCGCCCAACACATTAGCTCCCACAAGACACGGAGGAAATAAAATAACCACTTCCAATTTTGAACCTTAAACATGATTCATTCAAAAAGTGAAGAATCTCACAAGTGCACCTTGTTCATGAATCATGATTGATGATATACAAGTAAATAGGTTTACATAAGTAACATAAAGTAACCAGGTTAAACCACGTAGCAGTGACCAGTTGCAGAGTATACCACAGATGATCAGGTCTAATACACTACACAACAGGAGGCAATCAGACCAATACGTCTAAACTAGCTAACCATTAACATCTGCCAAATTACGGACGCCATGAAAATGCCCAACAGGGTGCAAACCTGGTTATAATGTACTAAAGCGCTCAAATTCCTACCGGATTGGGCTAAAAAATTGCTGGGCTAACTATGACTTGCTTCAGTAAATGACACAGCTGAGAAGCGGACAGTCATAACATAACGCAACCAAGGAAGCACAGATGTAAGTTCGCTTGAGCAAAATCTATCAATCACGAGCACACAAGTTGAACTCAAGAGCTTCCTAACATAGACCACCAAAACCGAAGACCAGCTAAAGAAAGCGAAATCCGAAAGACGCACCTGCATCGAATTGGAGTTGGATTGCGATTTGTCCGGAGCGCCCATCGCTAGCCTCTCCTGGTCCCGAGACTCCAATCCCAAATCGAGCCGCGAAAATGAGTGAGACCGAGGTCGACACCGAAGCGAAATTAGGGTTTTGTAGCAAAGAGGAGAGATACGGAACCAGAGGCGAGAATATAGGCCAAAGGTCAAGGTTTTCGGGGGGTTGAATCAACAGAAAACCCTAACCGCCATTAACGTAGCAGCACAAATCCTTTAACATTCGCTTTCTCCCCTTCCCCTCTCTCTCACTAGTTTCTCTCTCCTCCTTTTTATATCCTTTCCTTTTGCCCCAACTATGAATTCCCCCGACCTTCAAAACGCGGAAGGGGGAAAAGAAAAAAGCGCCGGAAAATAAAAAATTGTACATACATTATAAACAAAAATTCCACTAATACCCTCACGTCCTTCAAAATTCACTGAATAGCCATTGGTTGTAAGTCCGTACTTTCCCCACGCGCTCTCTCCCCACGCGTTTGACTGATCTACTATTGTTACGGCTCTGTGACCTACGAGGCGTGACAGCGTGACGATTCGTTCAAACAAAACACCCAGTAAAAAAATGCCACGTGGAAGCAGAAGGGAAGTTTGAGATTCTCGGCGCGAGTTTTAGTGAAACTGATGCCGTGAGGGTCTTTAGACGAAATCCACGTGGCAGCTGATGGATGGTGGATCCAGAGATGGACAAAATAACCGAATCCAAAATAAACTAACCGAACCCGACCGATATATATTCTAACCGAACTGAACCGATTAAAATAATATACCTGATTGGATATGAATATTTCAAACCCGAAATACCTGAATCCGAAATAACCGAACCCGAAATAACCGTAAACTGAATAAACCGAACACGAATTAACAGTAACCGAATATATCCGTTTATCTATCTATATATTATCAATTAATATGTATTATATTCTAAATCTAATTAAAAAAATTAATATAATGATATTGTTTTATAACCATGATATATAAAAAAACTAAATATACATGTTAAAATGTTGTTTTTGTTATTTTTATAAGACAATTGTTTGAATTTTTTTATCGTTTTTTTGTTTGGATAACCTGAACCGAACCCGATCCAAACCGATCTGAACCCGAAACCGATTAAAAAATATACCCAATTGGATATGAATATTTCAAATCTAAAATAGCCGAATCCGAAATAACCGAACCCGATTAAACCAAACCCGTTTGATCATCCACTCCTAGGATCCGAATATTTCGGCAAGAACAAAAACATGGAACTAGTTCTAGTCTTTTAATTATAGGATAAAAGACATAAAAATTTCTCAATTTAAAACAAATTACTAATTTTTACATAATAAATTAAAAATTATAATGATATATTTATAAATTACCGACAAAAAAATTGAAAAATCTGTTTTTAACCATTTTACAAATTTAAAGAATTTCTATAGATTTCACCCTTTTATTTTAATATTATGGGAACAGAGTTGCAGCTCATGAACCATTTAATTAACGCAAAAAAATAAAAATAAAAAAATAATACCGTTTGGGATGGTTACACGCATGAAGAGCCATAGCTAGAGACGATTTTACGGCATATTGTTTCATGGTACGGATAGCCATACAGAGAGATCAATACAAAAGATGCTGATGATTTAACCGATTCCATTGTATTATGATGGAAGGTAACGATAACACGCCTGCCACCTTACGTAACATCGTATATCCGACAGGTAAAAAAAAAGTTGCAGACCAATGGAAGAATGAGAACTAAGAAGCAACAAAAAAACATCTCTTAACATGTCTTGCGAGAGATGTTTCAGCTGAAGTAAATATAATCGAACAAAATAGTATACAAGCGTATTCAAACCAAATCCGATACTGAAAAGATGTAAAAACCCGATCTGGGGTTTGGTTTCATATCGAATCATATACAGCATTTCAACATACAGAACCCAAGTGTTCGAACAATGCAGGATGTGTTTCAAGAAGAACACCATTTCTTTGAGAGATTGCCAAAACAATAATCAACCAAACGAGAAAAATCATATAACTGTAGAAAAACACGAGAAAGATAACCAAGAATCTCCGAGATTACGGCGTCCAAAACAGTACACCCACAACTTTCATAGACATAATTAAACAAAAAGCGGAGCTTAATCAAATTCCTGAATCTAGAAAACCGACAATGATGAGTCCCATTTTCATGAAAAAAAGGCACAAATTTAGCCTTACTCCTCTCCGCTAGCGTTTTCGCCGCTCGTCTTGTTGTGCTTCCTCGCATACCTCTGGTTCCTCAGGAACTTCGGATCCATCTGCAGATTTTTCACCCAAATTAAACAAAACAAACACCCCCCAAACTAGCATCTCCAAAATCAAATCAAATCGAATCAGAATCGCCACAATTGTTTTTCAGGAAAGAGATGTTATAGACTTACTCCTTTGGTCGAAGTGTGACGGTGCCTCCTAGGCTTCTTGATTCCGTTCTTATGCGCCTTGTGCGACTGGTTGTGAGCAGTGTGGTTCTTCGACTTCGCCATCTCTGCATCACCAACAAACGCAATTAACATCAATCACGCGAAAAAATAAGCACCAGAGATGTAAACAAAAGATTCACGACATAATCCCCTGAAAAAATGAAACGAACCTGAGACACGAGAGGGATTCTTCGATCGGCTGAACTCTGGCTAAGGTTTTCTTCCCGCAACACAGATTCAGAGACGCCAGGAAAATAAACCCTAGCTTCTGAAGATTTTATACAGGAGACTAAATGACCAAAATACCCTTAAGTTATTAAATTAAATGGGCTTTTACGATATCCGCCTTGTGTATATCTTATAGGCCCATGATGTGAGCCCAAAAATAAACACAGACCCTCTAGTTCTTCTAAAGGGACCAAGAACGCTTTGGATTATTATTCTCACCACCGAATTCGACATTCTATTTGAGTTTAATCTGTTTTATTATTTATTTTTTACTAAAACTATATTATTTAAGAATATTTCAACGTTCGTCCAATTTTTAATTATTTTTGTATTCTTAGCAATCTAATTTAAATTCAATTTTAATAAATTTAACTATAAATTAAATTGGATTTAGTTTGCATCACATTGAATTATATTAGTAATTACGGATACTGCCATTACGTGTGTGGAGCTGGCAACCGTCTGATTTTTTTTTTAATTACATCTCCGTTTGTTTTTTTTTTCAAATTGTCTCCTCACTTCAGAATCAGATCCAACCTAACCTAGCTCTTTTCTTCGTCGTCTTCATCTCCTCCGGCATCGAATTTTTCTTCACCGGATCCGTTTGATCTGAAGATCTAAACGATGTTTCTATTCGATTGGTTCTATGGGATTCTCGCGTCGCTTGGTCTCTGGCAGAAGGAGGCCAAGATTCTCTTTCTCGGCCTCGATAATGCCGGGAAAACCACTCTTCTTCACATGCTTAAAGACGAGGTCTGTTCTTCGCTCTATCTTGTTTTTCGGATTTTGGGTTTTTGCCCCTTTCTGGGTTGGGGTTTAGGGTTGGGATTTTTTGTTTTGAATTCGCGTGTGCCTTTTTGCAGAGATTGGTGCAGCACCAGCCGACACAGCATCCGACATCGGAGGAACTGAGCATTGGGAAGATCAAATTCAAGGCTTTCGATTTGGGTGGTCACCAGATCGCTCGCCGTGTCTGGAAGGATTACTATGCTAAGGTAAAATTACATATATACTATACATACATACATACATATATGTAGATATAGCTAGCGATGGTTTGACATAGTACCATAGAACTGAAGCCATAGGACAATGAAAATAGCAGTTATGCATTTTTTTTCTTCTACATTTTAGCAGAATATCCACTTCATAAGTTGTGTAATGAAATGCTAACATGGCTTTTGTTTTTACTCTGGAATAAATGCATTCTTGTCTTAATCTTCTATTGATGCTTGTATTTTGTATGATCATTTCATCTCCCTCCCAGAACGGGGAGTGAGTGATCTCATGCTTACCCAAATATATGATGGTCTTTTCTTTTGGTAATGTGGCTAATGTCTTGTTTGTGTTTATAAGTTACCGTTATCCCATGTTCATGTCTATATCACCTAAAATTGTGTTCCCATGTCATATGAAGCCTTCCTTTTTGGTTTAGAATTTATGTGAAGACAACTGTTTGAGTAGAATCTAATATCTATATGAACAGTTCCTTTATGGTATTTTGTTTATCAATTTAATGTGTGTAGATGTTATAAGATTGCAAGGAAGAATTTCTATCTTGATATCAAGTTTGATTCCTAAATGAATAATTTCCAGTACTTATCCAAATCCCAGTATCAGTAGACACTTGGATTAGTTATACTATACACGAGCAATAATCCTATACATTTTTTCCCCCATCTTCAAACAGGTTGATGCAGTCGTGTACTTAGTGGATGCCTATGACAAGGAAAGGTTTGCGGAGTCAAAGAGAGAACTCGATGCCCTTCTCTCGGATGAAGCCCTAGCTAGCGTTCCTTTTCTCATCCTCGGAAACAAGATCGATATCCCGTATGCAGCCTCGGAAGACGAGCTCAGATACCACCTCGGCTTGACCAACTTCACTACTGGGAAAGGAAAGGTTGTTCTGGCAGAGGATTCCGGGGTTCGCCCTCTCGAAGTTTTCATGTGCAGCATCGTCAGAAAGATGGGTTACGGAGACGGGTTCAAGTGGCTCTCTCAATACATCAAGTAAGGGTTTTTCCTTTTTTCAAGTGGCCAATTCTTCATGGTGGTCTCTCTGGCTTAGGACGAGGAAGTCAGAAGAGACAAAAAGACAGACCAGAGACTTGCTTGTAGTGTCTGTGTTTTTGCCCCCCGTTGGATTTGGAGGAGATTTGCTTGTAATGACGTTGGGTTCTTTGAATAATCGAGATGATTTCCGTACGTACGTAAAAGAAAAGTTAAATTATTGTAACCTCGGATCTCTCTCTCTCTCTCTCTATATATATCTATCTATCTATTTCTATATATATATATATCGTCAGTTCATATCGATACAAAAGTAGTCTGATACCATTTGTGAAATAAAGAAGAATATATTCAGTTCATGTCGAATACAGAGATCAAACGGAAACAGCTGAAGTGATCTTAAAAGAAATCTAACATTAGTTCTTCAACCAAAGAATCTAATATCTGACTTTGGATCTCTTCCCCGACCGCAAATCCATCTTTCTCGAAGTTCAGCCAGCTTCCAAACCTACAGCTCATGTCCTTGTCCACGAGATCATCCACCATACAATCTCCCATCCCTCTCCATCCCAATATCTCTCTGTACACTTCTTCAGCTAACCTCTCCTTTTGTTTCGCCATTGCAGAACCTTTAGTCCATGTCCTGAAGCCCCCGCCTACGTATTGCTTGCATCTGACATCAATACACTCACTCACACAGTCGAACAGCAGCTTCCTGGCGATTCTTCCATCGTTACCCTCGATTCCAATTCTCGCAATGTGACTTTCCAGCTGGTCGAAAAGACGGGGGTCTGTAACTTTGTCGGATTTGCCTACTGCAAAGTCATGGAACGCAGTTTCAAGATTGCAAAGTATCTGTCGAAGGTACTGAAGTTCCCGATTTCTTGATTTGGTTGCCATGTTTGCGTCCTTTTCCGCTAATGCTGCTGAAGACGTGGAAGAGGCAGAATCTGACAAGTCCGTGTCAGCTTCTATGGACCGGAACTTATTCATGGAACTCGACCCGAGAACTTCCTGAGCTTGTACTGATGAACATGCCTTGCTTCCTGCTGAAATCACATAAGTATTTTCCAGATTACTTGCTTCTGCAGGGATACACTCCAAATATAGATTCAGAAAAAGAATTAGGATTATAAGCTCTCTCTCTCACCGTCAATGTTGCTACTGTCTGTGCTCTCTGAAGAGTTGCAACTTCCAGTAGAGAAGGCCGGTTCCAGGATAGAAACAGGGCTTGGTTGTCTGTGGTCTAGTTTCTCAGTTGCCTATGAACATCCGAATGAACACAGAGATGAACATCCGAATGATATTATTAGTCTTGAAATGAAGCTAAACTATAAAACACAGAGATGAGAAACCAAGAAAGGAAGACAACAAAAGGGCATTTCCTGAATGACATCTATGTAGCATACCTGTAAATTGTGTTTCCAATCAAGCGGAGATCGATCAATGGATGAGAACTGAGGAAAGCAAGGATTTTCCATCTTCCCCGTAAAGACTGCATAGCAATCTTCTGCATTGTGCTGTGGAGCAGTGAAAGCAGGACTCAGGGCAGGTGTCAAGCTGAGAGATGTTGATTCTGACAAAGAGGTTGATCCTGTTTTGCGATGATCTTGACGGGAATTCTCGACTGCATAACTTAATTCCTTTAGCTTCTGCTCCAACAGCTTGCTCAGTGCATCTCCACCGATGGCGTCGTGTCCAAAAGAAGGCAACTTCAAACTATCTGCGCCTACAGACAATCTTTTTCCTCTATTACCCATGAAAGGGGTGTTATCTTTCTGTTCCATCAGGCTAGGTGTTTCCGAACAAGGCATTGACCGTGTCAATGGGGTTGTGAATGTGAACGAGATAACATCAGAGCCACTCTTT